TAAGACCCCTCTGTTGTGTTTCTCACAACGGGTGCTGTGCCCTTACAGGATTACCCTTGCCCAGGATGCTCTTAGCCCTGCGATTTATACTGTGTAGCACCGATAACATTAACTGAAAAACATTAGGTATAACAATCTGAAAAGGTCATGAGGATATGATACGGCAGAAGCGAAAATTCTATGCCGGAAGACCCGACTGCTCACACCTTTACAATGTCAATAGGGAATCAGTGAGAAGAGTTCAAAATGAGAATTTGAAAGAAGTAGTGAAATCGTACTTGTTGGTGATGAACTGCTTCACTAGTGCTCACTCTTTGAAGCAAATACAATAGGATCATTGAAAAAATTGGTCAAAATTCAATGGAAACATAGTGAGTAGACAAAGAGGGCAATGAACAGGTTTTCTTTTTTCAGAAAAAAATATTAAAATAAATGTGCATAAGGATTTTGTTAAATAGTCCCGAAGGAGAACTGACGAATCAAAAAGAACAAAACTCAAAATATTCTAAGACTACTTCTGGGCTAATTAGTGAGTGGTTATACAGTCATTCTCACTAGAGAATTAGCTAGAACGCAAGAGTGAAAGGATGTCAATCTGCTACAAGAAGGATGGCGATTTGCAAACTCTTGCAAAAATGTAGAGCAAATTTATAAAGTCCTGCAAACTAGAGCAGAACAAAAAAATGGTAAGGAATTGTACCCCGTCAGAAATTTTTCTGTGAGATTATATGTAGAATCTGGAGCAAGGTTAAGCATCCGTCGCGGAAACCCTTCAAGCGGTACGACCATTCCCCTCCTTCAGGAAAAAGTAACCATACCACCTCCACCTCTCATAGGCTATCGATGTCTCTGCCCAATATCAGCGCTGCCTCGCTTGCTGTAAGAAGGCAGCGCTGCATTGCCTACTGATCTTCAACTAAGCCTTAGGCCTTCTTGAAAATGGCATAATATCACTCGCAGGCTCGGCACCAGTAAGAGGATGAAAACTCTCTGATGTATTTAGTTAAGATGGGCACAAGATATAAAGACTAGGTTCTAAAAACATGTTCTACAAAAACTGAATCTATACTGGCTAGGTTAGCGTCTTGAGCTAAGACGATGACATACAGTGTGAATCAGTTGTGCTTCGCCTTTCGTCCCCAAGAATACGCTATCCACCGATCTGCCGTTTCGTTCAAGGCGTTATCACCAGTTATTTGCACAAGCCACTTCAACAAATAAACATGTACTGCGTGATAGTCCCATCTGAAATCAACAACAAGACTTCATGAGAATAATTACATTCAAAAATCCTATCACAACCTCGCAATATTCGGCGCAGTGTGCAATCCTATATGTCGTAGATCATAGATCGATCCACTTCCAGTGTCATAAAGAGGTAGCAGAGCTCGAAGCGAATCCAAACCCGTAGAGAATAGTTTTGAGGCCCGTTCCACTCCACGACGAACTTCTTCCAATGCTGAACAGTACACACTCGGGGAATGCTGTCTCTACTTGAAAACAAGAGAAGTTTCATGGAAATACCGAGAGCTCAGTGAGAGGTTGTATAAGCAAGGCTTGCGTCTAAAGTGCTGCGAAACTACATGTGGAAAGGGTTACGCCATAACCACTATTTTCGAGGCATTAATAATGCCCTAGCTTGAGCCTTCTTTGAAGACGCATTGCGCTGTAGATGCGATTATGACTCATCGCGCTCAAAGCTGAGAGTAGAAGGGAAAGGCATGTTATCGAGAAATAAAATACGAAAATGCTGAAATCATCGAAGCGAGTCACAATTCTCCACTCTAGAGGATGAAATAGTACGAGGGAATAGGTGCTTTGGTGAGTTCTCACCCGCTAATATCAAAATCAGCGACTCATTTCTCCTCCTTATCATCTCACTAATGCCACCTTAACCCCTGCATATAACTTATCTCCTATTTCGGTAACTATCTGTCACCCTTCACCCAAAGAGCCTGCAAAAGTGCCAATACTCTCGGAAGTGTTTCAAAGTTCTCTGCGGGTCTGTATGCTGAATTTCAGTACTCCAATGAAGGCACTGCTCCCCCTGAGAAAGTTCCAAACAAATAAAAATGAATGCTACCAAACCGGTGACTTCTTCCGCCCCTAACCTGCAACCTGACATGGAATGAGGGTATTTTCTTACAGATGTCATATGAAGAAACTCTCATGCTCGAAGTATACCCAAGCATTGTAAAAAAAAATGGGAAAATTCTAATACAATAGGTTGAAAATATTAGGATGAATTTTAGTACTGAAATAGCTTACGTTCATCACCCCCAGCTTGACATTCTTGAAGTCGTATAATCCAATCAACGAATAAATAAACCCGTTCAAAACAAAACTGCCTGGAGTTGTGGGATATTCTTCATACCAGTCATATCCAAACAGTTTTATTACGCAGCCCCTCCTGCGGAATGCATTCCTAAAACACACATGAATGAGTATGAGCGTATCTTAGCCGTATCTTGGAGATAAGCTGTACATTCATCTCCGTGGACAGGGTAGCAGCATCATGTGTGAAATGGTGGTGTCAGTACGGCCCTCTTCCCCCTATGTTTCACACAACGATGTTGTATCCTGTCGGGTTCTTGCAATGTGCGAGGCACATGGGTCCGCAGCTGCAGGAGAAACCACTGTCTCCGCCCAGAAGACGGAAATGGGCCCTGAAGGTATGTTATGAGACGATATCTTCTACCTCACACTCTTCGCGCCACCCTCACGCGCAACCACACACCCAGCGCCGTAGGGAACAAAGCACTAAAGTGACGTAGATTAGGAATATGACGTGGTTGGCTGCCGTGCGGTAGCGCGGGCGGGCTGTGGAGCTAGCATCCGGGTGAACACTATGCTACTGCCCCTTCCCGTGCACTCCTGACCGGTGAACGTGGCACGCTAAGCCTGCAGCTGCTGACCATCCACTTGAATCATCTAGGCAAGAGCACGATCTATGGAGTAAGAGTGGCGCGTTTACGCTTAACTCCTCAGCCGAAATGAAGCAAAATGAACAAGACAACTTTGGTCCTTATTGAACACTAACACAGAAAAAAAAAACTGAACCAGACCTTTTCGAACAAATCTAGTGCTCTGGTAGCAACAGCAAGGTAGCTGGTATTCTTTGTTGCGGCAAAAGCACGTGTAAGTAGGGAAAGAGCATGACCCTGAAAAGTGGCTCATTTGTAGAGTACAACAAACAAAATCTGAGAAATTCTATGAAATATCAAATCTCTCAAGTTTCCAAATAATTCAAAAGAACCTGTGCCATAGCCGAATGCCAGCCAGCGTCAAGTACAAGTCGACGTTCAGCAATAGCTCGTTCTACCGGTACCGCCCATCCACCCTAGAAAATTTTGTAAAATTGCTAGGCCTAGAATCAGCTTACAATTAGGGAGGAAACGATCCATCGGTGCTTTATAATCGTTTCTTTAAACTCATTTCTATTTCTTCTACTCTAGTACTACAGTTGTTGTTTAAAAAAAAACGAAAAATAACCTCATCATCTTGATTTGAAGCTAACCAATCGGCCGCCGTTAAGAAGAATTTGAAATGAGCATTCCGAGATTGTACAATTCTCTGCTTGACAATTACAGCACCTCGAAATCCGACCGATACTAGCTTGATATCTCCTGAACAAGACTAGTTTTTCGTCTCTTCCATACCAACGAACTTTCGGATGGAAAATAGACCCTAGATTTTCGAATACCTGGGTGGAGTATCACATTTCCGTCCCTCTTTTTACTTGTATTCATACTTGATAGCGCCCGCGAAGTATCCACCAAGATATCTCTAGTAGTGGACTGCCAGTCTTTTCGCGGTTTACCGAGTGAGAACGAGAATGACACCTAATTATGGAATATACAGCTAAAGATAAAGAAAAAAGTGAAATGAATATTTATACTTCAGCTATAAACGAACCTGTTCACTACCTGCGAATGACACCGAATCATTCCAAACGCAGCGTGAATCATGCTGAGCAACATAGTTGAGCAGCACCAGCATGTCGGTTTCAATAATTCGCACAAGGACGGTGAAGGATGCATTTTGAATAGATAACCATTCGAATGAAATGACGTGGTGTAAGGGCGATTGGTCCAAGAATACGTAACAACCAGCATTCGATAGCTCTCCTGGAACAGCGACCTCTTCTCGGGTTGAATATGCGATTTTTTTATTTTCCAACTGAAAATAATGAGAGCGCAACCAAGATGAAGTCCAAAATTGTAATTATCCTGAAGACCAGTTGCAAATCATGAGTGACGGGGTTCAAAAACTAGAGAGGAGCTTGAGTTAGCAGTAAATATGAAAAAATGCCTCAAATAAGACTCTATAAGACCCCAGTTGGTACTGAGGAGCAACCAATGGAGAGAAGCTGAACGAAAAGGGAAACGAAACATAATACTAGTCTGCGAAAAAGCGTCTAGGTAGAGGCAACCGCGTCGCCATACTGTGAGAGTAAAGAGAAATAGGTAGAAACAGAAAAGGGCGGAGCCGAACACTCGTCTGCGGAGCACGACCTTTGCAGCATGTTTCTGACCGCTGAGACGCTCCTTTTCGGGCCGTGAAAGCGACACAGAGCTACGATTAGGTGAACTTCGTATAAGGAGGAATTTCCGCACGAGGACAATCGTGGAGTGTTCCTTCAAAGTGCACAAAGTTTTCCCGGATATATATTGAGCAAGATGAAATGAGCTTCAATACGCAGTGCATCAAAAATGCTACTGCATTCCTTGTAGCAACGAAGTGGGTGGCTAATACCACCCACTTCGTTGCTACAAGGAAGTAGTACTGTCCCTGCTGTGATTAGTTTTATGACGTTGTTTGCCACGCCCACATAAGTGGCGCAAAAGTCATTGTAGGAGCCGCAGAATTACAGGACTTCAACAGTAATATAATTCTGCTTATGGCTGCCAGGACATAGTACCGAATAAAACTCCAGCTTGGCACGCAGTTGAGACGTTTTTGATAGCAGAATTTGGGTTCAGGTTCAGTCGAGCCTTATCACGACCATTATTCCAGCTGCTTCCAACATGTATAAGAGAATATGGCAGAAAAAGTAATGAAAAGTGGTAGAGGTCCAAAGCACGGCATGCAATATCCAATACCATCGAAATTCAATTACAAAAAAGAAATCATACTGATACTCGAAAATAAACTTACCAGAGGTTGTGATGTTGACCAAGGGACCCTTTTCATCATCATGGTAGAAAACGCGCTCGCTCGAATCTTGTGAGTCCGGCGATCCCTTCCACTCCGCACTTTCCAAGCCCTTTTCGATCAAATCCTGATCCGTTTTGTTGACTAAAAAAGGTGAATGAGCAAAAACACCACCGAAGTAAAATATGGCATCATCCCTTTTTTGTTCGCTCGACTTTACGGTTTTCAAATCACGACGGAGTTATGAAATAGAACTAAGGCAGACCTCATGATATTCGTGGGCTAACCGTAATACACATGTTGCACGGCAGTCATCGTCCGGCGAACGCGTGCTAACCACCTATGAGACACATGACTCCGCATGAGCGAGGGTTGTATTTACTTGAGGGAACATGAGTCCGCATGAGCGAGGGTTTACTTGGACAGGGGGCCAGCACTAGGCCGTGTTCATTCGCAAAGAAATTGTGAATTGAGAGAAATGTGGAACGAGGAGAACAGGCATGACAGGGTCACATTCTTTTCGTCAAGTTCCGCGGACTAGAGAGAACAGCATTCGAGTCACTTCATATACAAACCTTTTTTTACCAATTTGGCAGATTACGAAGATGCTTTGTGCACGGAATGGCTTCCGTGGCACCAGGGTAGGGGTGGAAAGTTTTAAGAGAGACTGAGAATTTTGGTTTTCACGAATGGCTGGTCAGTAGTTTACAGTCATCCCTCCCCCTGATTCGGTCGCCAATACGATCTTTCCCCAAAACTCGCCGGAAGTTTCGGTGATGGTAGTAAAGGGTGTAACGAATTCGGGATCGGGTAGTGGAAAGAAGTTGTGACCCCACCCTTCATTTTGGGGAAAGGTCGTACTGGCATCGACATTTTCTATCATCCAAAAATGTGCCCTGTCCCATAGAATGCAGTATGCGGTATGCAGCTCTGACCAAACCGATTTCAAAAAAAGCTCAATGCTACTCTTACCTAACATCCTGCTGTAATGCTGCAAAGCCATACTGCGCAATTTGGATCGGATAGTAATACGGCGTCGCATTCCATTGAGTAGACATAGGAACTCCTGAATTTCGAGTGTCTCAGACTAAACTAAGAAGCAGTTAACCAGTTCGTTTGCAAAAAAAAACAAAGATGACTTTTTCGGCCACCCTGAACCCGCACTTTGGTGGGCATTCGCAGCGGACTTTCTTGTGCAAAACTAGGAATAGCATAATGGAGATGAGATTTTTGTCTAAACGAAAGATTGAAGAGAAGAGAAGCTCTGAGGCAAACCAAATGCGGTGGCCTTATTCGGACCACGGTAGTTCTAGTACTGCACCCTCTAAATGCCTCTCCCCAAGGGATTTGCACTATCAGTGAACACTCTAATGAATACTTACCGCTTTCTGCACTGATACAACGGACCCGATCTCTCGTCTCGACGCTGTACGTGGCAAAGTGGCCAAAGGGTCCAGCTGGATCATAAGAGTCACCTTCAGGCACGCGAATTTTTGAGTAAGAGGTGTAGAGTTCAAAGCGAGAGCCATCTGAACAAGAATGAACAATAATCATAAGAGTCTTTGGCGACGACGTAATGGGACCACTCAGCCGTGCCTCTCTCTCCCCAAAACCCGTCCTCGCAAGGGCTTAGGCTCAGAGCGCAGACGATCAGAACCGATGAGGGGTGGTACCCACCCGCAGGGAAGACATAGTCTCCACTAATCCTGAGCTTTCATTAAGGGAATGGAAATGGAAGCGCTCATCTACTCACACATCGAAAAATTTTGGCGCAGGTGTAGCAAAGGTACCTTACCTGATATGAGTAAGGGGTGATTAAATTACAGTTAATGACTGAGTAACCTGTACAGTATTACTGTTGATAACATCCCAAGCAGGACACGTTCTGACATTGGAGAGGATTTCCCTGAATAATCCCCCCCCACCACATTGATCCCCGCCTCCGGCATGTTCCACACCTACATGCTACCTACACTTTTAGATGAAGCAGGTGTAGCAGAGCTGCTACTTAGCGCAGAGCAGGGGATGGATGCACTTCTACCCTGGCCGACTCCTATTAATGGTAGTTTTGTAGCGCTGCCAAAGCTAGGGGGAAGTGTAACAGTAACGTCTGTCCGAGAAATTTGTCTGATACGATTCCCTTTGAAGATTACCCAACGAGCAACGTGCCCTGGCCTTAAGAGAATTACTGACATCTTATGTGATGCCAACATGACTTCATATAGTTATTATCCTTGTAAATGGGAGGGCGGGATGGAGCGCCATCTAGGCGGCCTTTCCACTTGTTCGAGCTCACTATCAGGATGGCAACAATTAGACCGTGTTCAGACTTCGCGATGGCGCCATCAAATCAAGCGATCTGCTCGCGCGATCCCCAAGCCTGAACACAGTTAGCGGAGAAGGCCGCCCTGGCTGCGCTTCGAACCACACCTTCGTGTTTCGTGTTTTACAGGGCAAATGCTCCCCTGCCCCCCCCCCTAACAGATGGCGCAGACGACCGTATACTTGTACCAGGTTAGTGCTAACAGTTTTCAAAATCCTTTCAATTCAAGACCTACCTTTCGACATCTTTCCAGAGACATCATATTGCTTTTTAATGAAAGAGAACGGGAAATAGAATTCAGCTTCATCGCGTAGGCACACCATCTCTTTGCCGTTGTTCGCAGTGCATTTCGCTTTGTTAACGGCTTTCCTTAACCTGTTCAATTCGGCGATCACAGACGGATCGCACGAATGTTCAGAGCCGCTACTGGCTTTCTGAGCAGCGTAAGTATTGCTCATATAAGGATTCTGCTGCTGCTTCTCGTTGTACTCGACGAGGCTCTTATCCAAGAGTAACAACATGAAGCAAATGCCTCCGAAGAGCAGACTGCTCTTCACTGACTTCCAACGGATCATGACGAGTTCTTGGTGATTCCAAACGCCGCTTTACACCATTGTTCAGCGTCTTGCTGAAAGTTTTCTTGTAGAAAAATAAAGAGAAAATAGTTGTAGAAACAGCAATGGATTAAGCCACTGAAACCATATGCACATTGAGGGAGAAAATATTTTATTTCCCAAAAAAGCAGGATATCTCTACAGACAATATACAGAATTCAATAAATTAAATTGTTGCACAATGTTTACAGAAGACGCCGAAAATCAAAATAAAAACATTAAGGCGCTGTTGATTCGAAAAATTGGGCGACTCTCATATAGGCACGTCTGTTAGATTCTTCAATACGTTTTCTGGCCACTAAGAAGCTTCCAACCAGTAGGGCAACATTCAGCAAAGCAAAGATGTGAAAATCTGGTAAAACAGCTGAGGAAGCTCTGGGACAAGGACGGAGAACAACGTTGCCCGATTCGGTGCAATTGACACGTCTAAAAGACCCAGTTTCCACGCAGTGTTTCGTTTTCAGAGCTCGGATTTCGAATTCTGAGCACTTCTCACATGGCGTGACTTCGACCGTCTTCTCGTACAACCAGCAGTTCTCAGGTGTCTTGACTCCTTTCAAGGCAGTCGATCCCGGTACTGAAGACACGAATTTGGTCTGCAGGTCGTCTTCAGCATATTCTTCCATGAAAACGACGATGACTGAGAAGCATAGTAGGGCGATTACAAATGAGAAGAGTCGTTTCGAAAGGAAGAAGTCAGGCATCGCATGGGGACAGCGCTCAAAGAACCAGCGACGAATCGACGTCGTGAAGATAACAAGATGGTGTGTAATTGCAGACGAGGCTTTAGGTTTACGCGCATTGCGGCAAACGACGCCACTCATCCAGTCATCGGCGCTGTCTCCGTGGCTACTAGAGCTTGTTAGCGTTTTTACTTTTACTTACACAGTTCACTTGTATTTCTTTTCATTTTCTCTTTGTAAGTGCTTGGTAACTGCACTAGTAAAAGTGCAACCTTTCTAACTCGATCACATCCACTTCTCGTTGGGACCCGTTCACTTGCACTTTCAAAGAAATGGCATAAGCCTTATCTTTTTCGTTCCGAGAGAGATTTCACGTTCTAGATCCGTTGCTAGAATTACTAAACTCTCAGAAGGGCTCAGTTCAGTGCTATTTCAGAAGGTGGCATAACACATTTTCGAAAAGTAAACGTCGGAAGTGTTCGCATAGTGAACTTGCGAAAATTCCAAAGATCGGAAGA